CTAGAGGACAGAGTGGAACTGCCCACAGGGTCTCCAAGGCTGTCAATCTTCACAGAAGCAAAGCCCAAACCACACCCACTGCCTGGAGTCCATTCTGACTCACAGCGCCCCTAGAGGACAGAGTGGGACTGCCCACAGGGTCTCCAAGGCTGTTATCTTTACCCAGACTGCCTCACCTTTCTCCCTGCTGGGTTTGAACCGCCCACCTTTTGGTTAGCAGCGGAATGCTTTCACCACTGCGCCACCAGCACTCCTTCACACGCCAGCAGCCCCCGGGAATTCTCGGAACCTGATTGGCCCGGCTGCAGCCCCGTCACCCCAGGATCACACCGCAGGCTTGCCCGGCTCTGCAGCAGTGCATGTCCCCATTTCCTCTCACTTCACCAGCAGGGCACAGACGGGAGCCAGGTGCCAGGTGAGGACACTGAGGCTACTGGCAGTTGACAGTCTGTCCCAGGGCCACAGGATCAGTAAAGGGTGGAGAAAGAAGGAGTGTGCTGGCCCACAAATACGCCGAAAACAAGACAATGTTACTAAACCCCAGCAAACACGGTTGCCCGGGAGAGCCCGCCAGGTGTGCTCGTGAAGGGAGGTGGTGGGGGCGGCTGGGATTCCACCAACCATCACATCACAGACTCTTCTTCAGTGAAAACGACAGATCTGAAGAGCGAGTGACTCTCAGCGTTACTTAATGTGGTGTCAACAGCCACCTAACATCTCAAGATGCAAGTCACCCTCGGAAACCCACAGCTCACATTACTTCTTTAGGTTGTATCGCCTCTCGGGATTTCAGGCAACATCCAGTGATGCACACATCAGGACGGCTGAAGCTTTGAGGAAAGCGCGTCACTGTTCCAGGGGAAGGACAAAGTGGGGGGGACGCAGGCTGGCTCCTTCCACTAGGTGGGCACTAATCTTGGCTCTGAGCTTCCTGGCAGCCAAGGCAAGATGGAAACAGTTGTCAACATGTCACCATCATCTGCTTAAAGGAGGTGTGTCCATCTCTCCGGAGGGGCCAGCTGTTTCCAGGGCCTGAGTTTTAGGCTGATAGAAGGCTCCTGGAGGCAGCCAGCAAGCCCCGTGATGACCAGGCAATGAGAATCCATCCTCTGTGTGGCCTGTGAGGGACCCAAGGACACACAGTGGCATTTTTATGGGGATGCCGAGCTCACAGAGCTAGGCCATTGTTGCTTCCTGGTGAGCAGAACTTGGGGAACCCAGGGCAGGCACCAGATGGTTCTCTCTCTCCCATCTTCTCCAGTGTCAATAATTCGTCTCCAGCAAGAGCTCCCAACCAAGCTCTCGGATGACAGCAGCTCGCACACGTTAAGTGCCTGTGACTCCCAGGCCCTCCCAACCACCACGGGAACCAGTCACCAGGACCGTCCTCCCTCCTCCTCTGTACGAGAGACTTGGCTCAGAGCAGCAAGATTCAGTCTGAGGTCTCCCCTTCTCCAGATCCTGAATGTCCACCACTAAGTAGGGAGCCCTTCTGCTCTGGTGGTTGAGAGGCCAGCCTCGTCTCAGCCTTGTCTCATCCGAGGGTCTCAGATAAGGAGGTCCCATAGGAAGCCCGGCCCCTCCACACAGAGGTGAAGCTGGAGACGTTTCAGCATTCAAGGCCGGTGCCCAGAGCCCTGTGTCTGCAAGGCTGCCAGGCCCTCACAAACTTGTATGAGGTATACTTGCCCCTCCATAATAATTTTTTCCGAAAACTTTGGCTCCAAAGTATGAAAAAAAGAAAAACCTTCAAAAGTCATAAAACATTTAATGAAACACAGAATGTAACATTACATGTTGCCACCAATTACAAATCAACTCTTCTCTGATTATGGACATGTTTCATGTAATTTGTGATACAACTTTGTGCTTGACATAACGGATCAGGTGGTGGAGAGGGCTTCCTAAAACCAAGTGTCTGGGACTCAGCTGCAGGGCCCAGCTACAGAGCAAGCCAAATGTGACCACAGAGTTCTGAACCTGCCCGGACGTCTGGCCAAGTGTTTAATTGAATTGGGGGCGTATGAAGAAGAGTGCTTGCCTCCACAATGCTGGGGCCAGGCGTCAGGCAGTTGGCTCGCCTAACCACGCCAACGGCCTTGTAAAGCTCCTGGCAGGCACGCAGCTGTGAGCACGGGGGCTCATTCTGCTGGGAGAGCACCTAGGGCCCTCCCCGCACAGCCCACAAGCTAAAAGAATTGACCTTCTGGATGGGGTAATTGAAAATCTACCTATTGACCTTGGAGAACAACTGCCAAAAATAAGACCCAGTTTGACATAGTTGAAGCTGAGCCATTTTTCCCACAATATTGTTTGTCAGACAGCTTGTGGAGCTGGGTACAGACACGTCCTCAGAGTGTAAAACCCCATCATCCAACAGATCTTGCTATGACAGCAGGAAATGCAGCCAATTAATTTAAAAGCAGAATCCAGTTACTGGGACACAAAGTGGAGAGAAAGGGCTGGGAGACAGGGCCACTCCCCATCACTCTAAACCTGGGACCGTGACGGTGAAGAGGCCACACCGTCTGACTCCGGTAGCCATGTCAGGAGTTAAGGCTTCAGGGAAACAAATGACCTTTGGTGGCCGGGAGGGAGGACGATACCTCGGATTAGCTGTGGAACGTTCCAGTGAAATATCTTAGGTTGCCTTGAACACTTTTTCCCAGGAGTCTCTGGGGGGCACCAAAGGTTACGCACTGGACCGCTAAACAAAAACCCACCCAGAGGTGCCTCGAAGGAAGGCCTGCTCATGTGCTCCCGAAGGTCCCAGCCGCTAGCCCCATGAAGCATGGCTCAGTTCCATGTGCAAGGGGTCGCCATGAGGCGGCAACTGACAACCACCACTTCCCAGTGAAACAAATTTGAGTGGGACCAGAATATGCAAGACTTTTCACATCCTGTTCTCCAAAAATTCAAGCCAACACTCAAAACTCAGGAGTTATCAGATAAAACGCCGATTTCTGGTTCTAAAAAGATCCAGACGCCTCTTCCGACAAGGGCACACACGCCAGTTTGCCCCAGTCCTCACCTTTTCCATTGTTCCCCACACCCGGCTCACTTCTTTGTTCACGTGGTAGGCAGGGCCCCTCAGGCACATCCCTGCAGCGCTGGCCTAGAGCCGTTGTAATGTGTACCCACTGTCCATTCTGACCCACAGCGCCCCAGAGGACAGAGTGGGACTGCCCACAGGGTCTCCAAGGCTGTCA